AGATAGATAGATAGATAGATAGATAGATAGATAGATAGATAGATAGATAGATAGATAGATAGATAGATAGATAGAGGTGGGAGGGTTAAAGAGGCGGAGTTTGGTGTCCAGTGTAGTTGGGGTCAGAGTGAACGGATGGAGTGATCAGCAGCACTTCTACTTTAACAACCTGTGGATAAAAAGTGGGCCTGGGTGAGCTGGTAAAGCATCGGGCAGCTGATTCTGTCATGCATGTGTTGTGGGAATGTGTTTTCTGCGCGCTTGTTGTGATCAGGAACGTGGGGACAAGCGGAGAGTTGACCAACACTCAGGGACACCTTCTGCATGCTGATGAGAGGAACTTCACAAAGCACGACTCCATGAAACAAGAAGCCTTTGAGCAGCTGCAGGCCCTACCAGGTTTGGAGCAAGAATTTCACATGAATTTAAACATGTCGCACATTTGACTAATCGTTCATTTCAGGGATTAAATAGAACACTGGAATTGTGTTTTATGAACGTTTTTATATAATTTCGTTCCCTTTGCGCCTTCAGTCTTTACACCACATGTTTTTATAATATTTTAAACAAAGATTGCCTTATTTGTGTGAGGATTTACTCACAAATCTACTAATCTGTTTACAAGAGAAGTGATGGAAGCAACCATGTATGGCAAGCAATAATATCATATAATATTTGAATTTGAATTGAGAAAGCTTCCTGGAGAGGTGGCGAAACGTCTTCAAATCTTGAAAACCAAGTCCAGTGGATATTTTTTGAATTTTTACGGAAATATCATATAATAGGTTTTATGTTTTAGGTCTGTAATCATTCAATCAATTGTTCTAATCAAGGAATTGTTCATTCATCAACCTTTTTCCATTTCAAATTAAATTACTAGAATAACAGTTACATGTTTTTTCAAAATAAGAATTAAATGATCAAAACTTAAATAATGCCATATTTTTGGATGTTAGTAGTTAAAAGAAAGACATGCTTTGTTATGTCTTGTTTTCAGCAATCCATACTTAAAACATCAACCTTATGAGAAGATGCTGTGTGTTCATGTTTTTTGGACTCTAGCTGCTCAATCGTGGGATAAGCTGTAGCATAATTTCTATAGTCATAGTTTAAAAGACATGTAATTTTTTACTGAACAATATCTTTGAAATAACCTTTTTACTTGACACTTTATGAATAAAACATTCTTTGATAAGCAGACTGACACCTCTGTGGTTCAGCATCTATGCATCTATAACCTGTAACCTAATTTCCTGAATTAACTTTGGCTTAGAAGTCTCCACACTGTTNGGCAATGCGACGTCCAGCATGTCCATGTTAAATGGGACCGACCTAGCAAGCAATTGAAGCGTTATATTCAAGATGGACTTATTTGATACTCAGTAGAGACAGGCATCCAGCTCAACTCAGATCCCAATGGCAACTCCACTTAAGGTGAAAAGAGTAAAAAATGTATTACTGAACAACAACAACGAAAAAAACATGTTAAATAAGAGCGTGAGATATGCGAATAAGCAGAAGTGTGCTGCAGTTCTGTATGTTGGCCACAGGTGGTAATAGCGCAATCTTTCCAATAAAGATGCGTTTGGCTCTTGGTTCAGAAGCATCCAAGTTAGACTCACTTCAGATCTGTCAGATGTTGTTTAATGTCATCCATGCAATCAGCAAACTTTCTTTCCTCTTGATCAAGACGCTTTATTTTCCAAAATCAAAACAAACTTAGATTTTCTTACCGCAACATGACGTGACAGGAAGATCATATCGGCTCATTTCGTTCCTTTTTTGCCACTCAAAAAAAACAACAATAATCAAAAGTGGTCAAAAACTGTATGGCTGCGCTGACTGAATCCAAGAGCTCACCCGGCCCCAATAGCCAACTCCAATATAATCCAGGTGTTGCAGTCACCTGTCCATAATGAAGGGGCCACGGCAAGAAACAGCGTAAATTATGAATGGCAGCAAAACACAAGTAAACAAATTCATAATTTCATAATTAAGTCAGTCAACTTATACTTCAAACCAAAATATTTAATGTTCATATATATCATACTAAAACCAGACAAAAATAGTAAACTAGAAATAAATATTAAACCATAAATCAAGCATTTGGCTCCAACAGGTGGCAGTATCCATCCATCCATCCATCCATTCATCCATCTTCTTCGCTTCTCCGGGGTCGGGTTGCAAGGGTAGCAGCTTCAGTAGGGAGGCCCACAAATCCCTCTCCCCAGCAACTTGGGCCAGCTCCTCTAGGGGAATCCCAAAGCGCTCCCAGGCCAGCCCAGAAACATAGTCCCTCCAGCATGTCCTGGGTCTCCCCCTGGGCCTCCTCACGGTGGGACGTGCCTGGAACACCTAACAAGGGAGACGTCCAGGAGACATCCTAATCAGATGCCTGAGCCACCTCAACTTCCTCCTCTCGATGTGGAGGAGCAGCGGCTCTACTCTGAGTCCTCCCCGGATGACAGAGCTCCTCACTACGGAGAAAACTCATTTCAGCCGCTTGTATCTGGAATCTCGTTCTCGACCCAAAGCTCATGACCATAGATGAGGGTAGGAACGTAGATCGACCTGTAAATCGAGAGCTTTGCTTTTTGGCTCAGCTCTCTCTTCACCATAACAGACCTGTACAGTGCGCACTTCACAGCAGACCCCGCACCAATCCGCCTATCAATCTCCCGCTCCATCTTCCCCCTATTCATGAACAAGACACTTAAACTCCTCCACTAGGGGCAGCACATCCTCCCAGACCCGAAGAAGGTATTCTACCCTTTTCCAGCTCAAGACCATGGTCTCAGATTTGGAGGCACTGATCTTCATCCTGGCCGCTTCACACTCGGCTGCAAACCGCTTGAGTGAGAGCTGTAGATCACTCCCTGATGAAACTAATAGAACCACATCGTCTGCATATAACAGAGACAGAGGTGGCAGTATTATAAAAAAAAAAATTCCATAAAGCGGTTCTGCAAGAAGCTGTCTCGATCCTTTTCCCTCATCCTTATTAGGCCAACATCACTATCATCACTAACATCATATGATCAATAACTCTCTACAAGATTGACACATTCCCCTGCTTTTAAAACTACCATCATTAACTCTATTGATCCTCAATATTCCCTTTCTTACCAAAACTATCTTTAGCTCAGGTGTTTCATTTCCCTGCTGTACAGATGATACATAACTCTGAACTAAAACAGACCTTCAGCTACTGTATCTTCTGCTTCATCATCCAGAGAATCACTCTCTTCACTCACTATCTGCTTGAGGAAGATACAAGCAGATATGACCTGGGAATTCCTTTAACTGGTTGGCACTTCATATCAACTGCAATCATCCACCATACAAACTCATTAAGATATTGTGGTCAGGACAACAAACTTGAGTCCTCTGTCTCCAATATATAGTAAGTTCGGCATTTGATCCTCACCTCTCCCACATCTGAAAAACATATTTTTCTTCATCTGAAAAACATGGACTTCTTACACAAACAAGCAAATATGACAACATCACCCCAAGTTTTCCTTTCTTCACTAGCTTCCGTTTCTGTTTTGATTCAATGCAACATTTGTCTCTTTATGCACCAGTGCATTCATGGCAGTGTACCTCAAAGATGTACTATTCATGCACACCAAAGGACACCCCCTTCACTCTACTACCTTTTACTTACTACCAGATACTGTATGATGAAATTAGGTCATAGTCATTCAGTAAAAATTCAAAAAATATCAACTGCATAAGACTCAAACTCACTGCGGCTCCAGACATTTGAATTGAGAAAGCTTCCTGAAGAGGTGGCGAAACATCTACAAATCTTGGAAACCAAGTCCTGTGGATATTTTTTGAATTTTTACGGAAAAGATGGAATTAGATTTTAAATTCTATTCTATTGTATTATATTCTATTTTAATCTATTTTAATCTACTTTTCTTATTTACAAGCACAAGGCATACTGCATATTGCAGGGAGGCTGCCAAACATGCACCTTAAATTTTCAGAAAACCTCACGTATCCTAGTAAAGTTTCAGTTTTGGAGTTCTTTTCCCAGTCTTGCATTCACCTAGAACATTTCTGGAAAGTTTTTTTTTTTTTTTCTATTGCTTTGCACATTAAATCTGCCTTTTCGACCATGAAATTCAGACTTTGTTGCTGTAAGAGAGCTGTGGATAGAGCACCCAGAGGAATATTTGTAGGTTGAAATGTAATTAATGCTTCTGAATTTTAACCTAAAGCAGGACTGTGAACTGTGCAAGTTTGGGATTTGTGAGGTCTTTAATGAAGGACGTTGCTCTGTGGTGAACTCCTGTAAGGTAAATTAAAAAAGTGGAGTTTACTATATGCTACAATAGCTTGCCATAAGCCCTTACAAGTAAAGGCTTCATTTACGGTATGATCACACATAGCATTTAGAGTGTTAGGTAATGATTAAGAAAAGGCTTCAGATAGTAAAAGAGGAGAAAATCCGTAAAGACTTTTTGCACTTCAAATGTTTGACACTTCAGTTTTGTAGATTTCTTATTTATTATTATGCATTATTATTAATGATATAAGGTAGAGCGATAACACGTGTGCTAATGTTGAACTTTTCCTGTCAGGCTTTTTGCTCTCAGCAGAGGAGCTGAGAGAGGAATTTGTGACCCTGTGTGCTTATCAAGTGATTCATGACTAATTCATGCTGATGTAGGAGTACATCGCCAGCCATCATCACATGATCTGGTCTGTAGCTGCGTGGACTTTATGACTTGGACATGTAGCCAAGCATGCTTTTATCTGAGGCACAAACAGCTCCCAACTCCTCCGACCCGGCTGGTATTTGCTGAGTGCTGCCAGGTTTTCTCCTCACAGAGTTAAAGCTCTGGGGAAAGGACTTACCACACTGGACAAAAAGCTGAAATATAAAAATATAGACATGGATGGTGATTGTTAGGTCATTTAATAAGCCAAGGAACAGATATGTAGATTTTGTAATTCAGCTCCGGCTGGTGAAGATCTCAAAGCGAGCTCTCATGTTCTCATCCATCAGCTGAAACAATGGCCTAATTCCCAAAACACATGCAGGGTAGACGGGGGTCATTAAAGATAATTCCCTGTTGCACCATCTGTCTATGCTGGTGGTGGTCTCACAGGATCATTTGGTTAACATGTTCCTTTAGCATCTATGCTGTTATTTTTAATATCTGATAAAAAAGATAGATGCCACATGTCCTCTTGTTATGGCTGCTGCAGTTCTTTTAGTTTGCACTTTGTTTTCCACAACCATAACATCTTATTACATCTTTCTATCATTTTATATGTTAGAAAGAATGCTTTATTTTCTACATGTGTCATCTATGTTGTTCTGTTTCCTGATAATACCGTACATCCCATGCACTGCATGGTCTTTTTCTTATTTGAAGACAAATTTTCCTTTTTTTTTTAAAACCACTCTCTTTGTGTTGAGGGTCAATTTGCCAAATGGAGGGATTATAGTAATCTAGCCCCAGAAATGTCCATTCCAGAATTAGTGATCCACCCCTTCTGTTGTTTTTGGCAGCTGAAGCAGAAAAACACTCTTAAAAATGAGGCTTCCTCTCCTTAAAAAAACCATCCTCCTTTCCATCTGCACTGTTGTTAGCATCTCAGCGGGCTCACACAACCAAATGTACTTGTTTGTTTCACACTGGTGGCTGAAAATGGATGCAATCCAAGCAGTTCCAAGCTATTGCTTTGCTCTGCTCAAAGGAAACGGTTGGGGGTAATGATATGGGTGAATCTGGCTCCCTTGAGTTTGGCTATTACTGACAGCTGCTAGTGTTAGGCTATGTGCAGACTGGCATCATAGTTGTGGCTGTAAACCTTTGGCAAGTCTTTGAGAAGAAGGATTAGAAAGACTCTGAGAAGCTCCAGTCATCAGAGAAACATATTTCTGGTATTATAGTGGCTCACATTTCTGCTACAGTAGTTCTTGGTGCTGCATAAAAACTAAAAATAGCTTCCATAGCTTAATTTAATAAAGCTACGACTAATAAATCTCCTTAAACCTGAGCTTAACTCTATCTGCAGAGACTAATATTTTTATGGAGACAAGGTGATAGAAATGTCCACTGTGCCAGATCCCACTCTTAATAGTTATGATGTAAAAATGTTTTTCAGGCCTTCAGATGTTTTGTTGTGCTCTTTAGCACAACAAAAATATAATTATTTTATTGATTACCAATGTCAAATATAGTGCAGTTAAAATATTCATCTGTTCTTTGGAGATATTGGTATAATTGCCTCCTGAAGGGGTAGGCACCTTCTCTGTTGTACCTTTTTTTTTTTTTTATTCTTAGTGTATCTGTTTCTTTTAATGTATATTGGACCTTGAGTCTGTTATAAAGTCAATGTACAATCTATCTACATCTATCATTGTTGGACAGTTACTTTTTTTAACACTAGAATTTATTAGATGTCATTTTTCTTGTTCACTTAATACGTATTAGTTAATTGGCGTAGTCCACAGCCCACAAAATTGGCGTAAATAAAATGTTGATGATATAATTGTCCTTAAAGGAAAAGTCTGGTCACATTCAGAATACAAACGTATGAAAGTACTATAAGTATGAAATTATTACATATTTTTCAATAAATGATAAGAGTAATTTTCATTTGAATGTGCTTTACCCGAGACATCCATGTTTGTCAAAGAACACTACTGCCACCTACTGGTTTAAGACATCACGGTGCGGTATCGGCTGTTGATCAAGTCCCAGTGCTGTATCTGGTGTTTGTCACAACACACCATTGTCCGTGGAGGATCATGAATCTTTTTTTGACTTTTACCTGATTTCAATTGTGAAGTCCTCTGGAAATCTATAATAATTATTGATTGCAGATGTGTCAAGTAGTTCCCATTGATTTTGCTTGTAAAGCGGGTAGAATTGGGCTAGGCTTACCGCACCGTGACGTCACTGCCAGAAGATGTCAGGAGTGAGGGGTTATTATATTTGGGCAAAAATGGCTGTTCCCGGACTCAGTGATCGCGACGAAAAATATTGTTTTAAATTTTTTTTACTGATTAACACTTAATTCATTAAATCACCACAAATGTATTAGATTTAGGTATAAATAATGAGCCAGTGGTTAATCCTAGCTGAATGGACTTTTCCTTTAAGACAACTGGTAACTCTCAAGGTTTTCCAGGAAAACCGTAAATTTGACCATAATGGGGCAAGGTTTCTGGAAGCTGTTGTTGTGAATTATATTATCATAAATAGTGTTGTCACGATACTAAACTTTTCAACTCGATACCAATACTAAGGAAAATATCGATACCATTTTCGATACCACAAGGATAAAAACAAAGACTCCAAAATTCAACAGGAATATTTTCATTAATAAAATACAAGAAATAAATACAATAAACAATAAGAACAATATTTTGAGGTTGTATGCTGTGCACAATATTAAGCAAGCTTGATAAAAAACGTATAAAATTAAAATTAAATGTTCCTTCCTTGGCTATGCTTTACACACCATAACAATGACGCTAGCCAAACAAAAATAATTCTCAGCAGCTGCACCTGTTACAAAAATAGTCTGAAACTGAAAAATGCACAGAATTATTTAATCACACAGTGTTTAGAAAGTGCATTGTCCTCTATTCTGCACTTTAGATGCACTTTAGGTGCCACTGGTGATAGCACGTATCGATACTTTTGAAAATGAGTATTGTATCCGAATACAACGTTTCAGTATCAATACTTTTTTGAGTATGCATACTTTTGACAACCCTAATAATAAAGCAATATGCTGGCATTATCCTTGCATTATACTGCTATTGCGATTGGGTTTGGTGTGGGTACCTTGTGGAATTTCTATAAGAAATGTACTGTTGCATTTCTTATAGAAATTCAACATAAACATAATCAAGTACGTATTTATTACAGGTTATGAGTCGTCATAACGAGGTTAGAGTCGTCCTGTAATATAAGTTATTGGTTTGAACCCAGCTTTTTCTTATTACTTGTTGCCTAGATTTATATGCATAGGGGTGTATACATTTCTATGTGTTTGTGACTGTGATTTGGTGATGTGGTTCTGATGTAACATACAGGGTTGTTTGGTTTCATTAGAAATGTCTTATAGTCCATTTAACATCGGGCCACACTAGAGATCGACTGATAGAATGAGGCAGATAAGGGTTCCTCACCTGATCTCAAGGCAAGGCTGTTCACTGCTCTAATGAATTGATGAATGCATGCAAGTATTGGAAAATGCCAATACAAGAAAAAACACACAAAAAACCTCTAATTTCACCTGCCTGATGTTTTGGTCAACAGATAACAGTTTCTTTGAATGTTTTTTTTACAATTTTAGAAAATATCATGAATTTGTACCACCCCACTGATACCCCACATATTTCCTGGGTCTTCATAATTCATAATTTATAAGAGATAAGTTTGTCTATTCATGCGTTTAACAATATATATGACCTCTTTAGACCTCAACTGGATTCGGTTAAAAAATGCAAGAAGATATCAAACTATAAAAATTAACAAATTTTTTTACAAAGACATCTTTTATGTGTGTTTGCAAGTATCATAATAGATATGCTTTATTCTTTTAGTGTTGTTTGTGCTATGTTCTTACCTTGGCTGACCACAAAGATTTGAGAATGGAGGGTTTGTGATTCCAAATAACTAAGCTTAGTGTACTCACAGTGAATTACTGAACACCTAGATATATGACCAAATAGCCAGAAATTTAATTTATCCTTAAAGGGCACTAGTCAGTTTTACATGCGCACTTTTTAGCATGATCGCATGAGTATTTCTGACAATTGTTCATTAAGTAATTAGGCTTTATTTTCAGTTTGGGCTACCATACAAAGACATTGTTGCATTGCTTGCAAAACATCACCATTATGTTGTGTCTGAACGTCACTTTAAAAGTATCATAAAAACCTGTGGTCTATTTCGGCACAAAGGGTACAAAAACCTTGTGACATTCATTTAAACACAACATGACGGTTCAACTGAACGGATATAGATGAATGTTTACAAAATTTCTGGAAAACAGATTAAAGGAAAAAAAAGAACAGGTCTGTCTGATATTAAAAGAACTTGATCCTTAAAAGTACCAGACGCCTTTATCAAAAAATATGCCTTCGTCTGTTTTCTAATGAAATCCGGCAGCAGATACATGCTACACACTATTCCAGAAGGGTTCGGAAAAAAAAGTCTGCGGTAAACTTCTGGTCCTGACAGTGCAGGAGACTGTGTTGTGCAGGTCTGCAACAAAGGGTCCTGACAGTTTTAGTTACAGTTTCATTTAGAGTTGACATAAGGTTCCAAGTGGAACCTTATGTCAACCTCCATAATGGTCTACATGTGAAACCAAAACTATTGGGCTAACATCTAGCTCTGAAACATCTATTCCCAACGCTACATCAGCAAAAAAGGACACACACACAAAACAGAAAACCCTAGCAGATCTGCAGCTTCTAAAATATTTAGACCATCTTGTCAGGCACCGAGAAATGTGTCACATTCAGAGTCACTGAACTCCTGCTTTCTATCCCGGTCACATCTAGATGCCAAGATGCCTTAAATTGCAGCCATTATGATTCACCGACACGCAATGGAACAGGCACAGCTAATATTCCCCAGTCCTTTTTTGGAATATATTTTTTTCATTTACTTTTATCAGTTTTCTAATATAGAAATTAGTTTATTGTCCGTTAAAAAATCTGCTTTAAATATCTTGTAGTTGTAAAAAGCATTTGTTCTGTTCAAGAAAAGCAAGTTAAACACCAGACTTTCCTTTTAACATATATTTTAAAGCCATCCTGAGGCTTGTGTTGTTATATATAAAACTCAAAAACATGTTCCTTCTCTTTATAGGCTCCACCTTTAATCTGAGGGTCCAAGTCAACGACATGCTGAGTCGGCAGCCACTGAGTCGGGCAGCGCTGGACCTCTTCGTCAACCATAGGTTGAACAGCACAGCTTTGAGTGAGGAGGACGGCAGCGTGCGGCTTCGTGTTCCTTTCCACTCAGGGCTGCCCATCACAGTTGTGGCCTCTAAGAAAGGCTTTATTTCTGCTTTACTGCTGTGTAAAACCAGTAAAATACCCAGTGAGTTCCCCATTGATGTATCTTTTTATTTGTATGGAAGGGCTGTCATGTAGTGTGGATGTCAGAATTAGTTTAAAACCAATTCTAGGTCCTAAAATTAGTCATTATAATGTGACAACATTCAGGGGAATTTTCCTTGTTTCTTTAAATCAATTTTTCGTATCTCATGTTTTTTTTTTTATGTTGCATAAGATGTCCAGTACCTGTTCTGCAAAGGATTTCAGCACATGAGAAACAAGAAAACAACAACACTGCCATCTAGTGGAATAAAAAACAATTTTTTAATATTAATATTAGGTTTGTATCTCCCCCCCTCTCTCTGTCTTTTATTATTTCTGCAGTCTTCTCATCTATAATTGTTCCCCTGCTGCGTCTAAATCAAGGGAACATCTGGCTCTTTGAAGATACGGTTCTGATCACTGGGAGAACTGCTGGTATTGGGAAATGTTTCTGTTGCTCTCTCTGTGACTTTAAAAATTGGAAGATTTTATGGAAATTCACAAACCTTTTTTTTTTCCAATTGAAGCTGCTGTTTCCCAGCCCACGGTCAGGTTTCCTCAGAGCCTCCTGAACCTGACCCACAGCAGGAACATCAGCTCCATCAGAGCATACCTGACGGTTCCTAAACTCACCTCACAGCAGGACAGCTCTCTCAACACCCTGGGCATCATCAGCAGCCAATCAGGTAACATTATTTTTTTTGCAAGGTAGGTCACATTATCCAAAGTCTGCTTTGAATCCTATGTGACTCTTCACAAAGCAAGTTTATGAGTTTTACTTTTTCAGGGAAATATA